TTGGGTCCTTCTACCTCTCAGTATTCTGGAGTGGAAGGAGGAAGACCTGCTACAGACCTGCCCACACCAGAGGCTCACTGTGGGCCTCGGGCAGGTTGCATAGCCTTTCTGTGTGTCATTGATCTCCATCCCCCAAAACTGGAAAACGGAGGCGCTAACATTTGCTTCTGTTCTTTTATGCCCACTAGACCTTTATTTCCATTAAGTCTTATAAATTGTCTGTTTAGCATTCATTGTGATTTTTTTTGAAAGTCTCTTTTCCTGAAGGATTTTGAAGTAAGAAAATATCACACCTATGTTGAACAAGTAGGACAGGGAGAGCCAGATACCATGTGATTTCATTTATATGTGAAATCCAATAAACAAAATAAATGAACAAAAAACAAACTAATAGATAAAGAGAACAAACTGATGATTGCCTGATGGAAGGAGGGAGGAAAGGATGGGTGAAAAGGTGAAGGGATTAAGTACACATTGACAGCTATGAAATAATCATGGGAATGTAAAGTACAGCATTGGGAATGTAGTCAATAATATTGTAAGAACTATGAATGGTGTAAGGGTGATGCTAGACTTATTGGGGTGATCACTTCATAAGTTACATGAATATCTAACCACTATGTTGTACACCTGAAACTAATATAATGCTGTGTGTCAACTGTAATTAAAAGATAAAAAAGTTTTAAAATATAATGAAATAGTCTAAGCATGCAAAAACAAACAAACAAAAAAACTATTTTTATCCCAAACATTGTGACTAACACACAGGCACTCTTAAAATTGAATAAATGAAATGAATGAATGAATGAATGACTCAGCTAATCATTAGATCATTCAGAGGATGAGATCAGATAGCACATGTGACAGGGTAATGAAAAACTCCCAACAATTAGTACTTGTTATTCCATTGCAGCAGTTTCTAAACACTCTTATCTTAGGACTAGCTGTGCAAAATTCCTAGAGAGCTAAAATGCAGAGGGGCGGGCCTGCCTTCTGAAGGTTCTAAGTCAGTAGCTGGGCTTGGGCTCAGGAATCAGTATGACCAAAGTTCCCCCAAGAGCATTTGCAGCATGGGTGAGGTCAGATTAGGAACTCTAGTGTGTCCTTTCACCTGGCCTTAAGTGTCCCCTGCTGCACTCTGTGGACCAAAGGTGATGGCGCTGGTCTGGGAGGAAGCTGGTCTGAGAAGAAGGTAACTGAGCACCCCAGTCCTGCTTGGAGGTTTTGGGGGAGCCCTGCCAGCAACTGGCTGTTTCTAGTTCTTCCTGAGGTTATTGACAGGGAAGATGTGATGAATACTAAGTCTCTGTGGCTAAACTTTGGGTCATGAGATGTTCATAAAAATTGCTGCTGATCTCCTTATGTACTACTCACTTTGTCTTCCTTTTTTCTTGTTTTCATCCTCAGTGATTTTCCAAATGGGATGAAGGCCACTCCCCTTATTCAGTTACAGGCTGTAAGCATCAGGGATGGAATTTTCTAAAGTCCTCTGCTCATGACCCTGTAAATACTTTCTGTGGATGATGTTATCTGGTGGAAAACCAAGTTGTGACGGTATACAGAGGGTGGTGGTGGGAGCTGGCCAGCAGACAGCCTGACTTTAGTTCAACTTCTCTGTTAGAGAGTGGGAATTTTTGAGCACTCCAGAGAGGTCATGCCCCACAGAGATGTCAGTGCTGACATCAGGACAGGCCTTGAGATAGGGTGTCATGGCCCCTTCCCAGCACATAGGCCTTCTTTCATAGAACACTGTCAGCTTTCTGAAGAACAGGATGAATAACATGGTCATCAATAGCATGACTCTGACTTTGCGTGGGAAAAACTGTTTTATCTTGGGTTGCTTGTTCTGCAAAAACAGGAGGTGGTAAATGGATTTAAAAGGGGTCCTGCACAAAGGGTTGGAGCTGCTCTCTGGAATCCCTGCATGGAGAATGGCAGAGCAGTCACCCAACTAGCTGGCCAGACAATAAAGGCTCCCTAAGTTTTAATTTGGTCTGGACTATAGTGGTCTTTACTCAGGTTCATTCCACAACACTTGTTTACTTGGGAAACTCAGTAGCTATTTTCCTGGATTCAGACATAGTACTCTACAGCTTTTTAACATGTTTGCTCTAATATATATCAGGATGAAAACAATGAGAGTCTCATGTCTCTGGGGAATAATTTCTAACTCTTTGTTAAGTCATATTCTCAGTCCTAGAAGTTCCTGAAAACCTTAGCATCATTAAATGATTGTTGTATTTATTAACTTAGAATATTGTAGTTTTCTTTTTTGCTTTTTTAAATTTCCTTATTGATGAAGGTATCACATATTTGTCCTCAACCCCCATTCCAATCCCCCACCCTCCCATTCATGCCCTCACCCCCCTATTGTCCTCGACCACTGGTTCGGCTCATATGTGTGCACATAATCCTTTGGTTGATCTCTCCCTTTTATCCCCACCCTCCCTTTGAGGTCCAACAGTCTGACCCATGGCTCCTTATCTCTGGGTCTGTTTTTGTTCTTCAGTCTATGTTGTTCACCATTTCCCCTAGATGAGTGAGATCGTGTCCTACTGGAAATATAAGAATGAAAAATGAAATAAGAATAATCGTTATGCTGAAAGGCATATGAATCAGTCTGTAGAGAGTTTCTGGGCCACCAGTTCTTTTGAGACCCAATTTCAATGTCAAACAGTTCCTTATGTGTACATGTCAGCAATGATATTTCAGTTCTAGATGGTGGACAAATGGTGGTAATGCAGATCCAACCCTCTCTGGTTTGGACCTGGGCAACCTGCAGTGATACACAGCTGCTGACTGCTATTATGGCAAGGCGTCATCAGCGTCTTCCATCACTGGACTGCTTCTCTTCTGTCTTCAGGGTTGGAGTAATTCCTCTCAATTCCTCTCTGTTGCCAAAATCCACATGGTTTTGGTTGTTTTCTGAAAATATACAAACATATTCTTGACCAAAAGTTAATAAAGGAATATTTTCTATAAATTTGACTTGGAATCCTTTTTCATTTTTTGCCCAAATGATTTTCCTCTGGCTTGTTTTGATACCGTGTGTTTTTCATGGGTGTCTTGCTGATAGCATTATAATTCATTTTCTAAAGTACAAGTTTTCTAGAATTTACTTTCAGGATATTTTTCCTTACATGATATCCTTCTACTTTCCCCTTTTTTTGATCTAACTATTAGGAGGCTTTTGAAAATTTTATAATGTAGTCTTGATAGCTTTTAAATTTTAATTTTTTGCACTATAATATGACTGCTTTAGGTTCATTTCCTGTTGTGAGATTTTAACTTAAGATAAACTACCAATAAAAATTTTAGTTAACATTTTAGGAACAGCTTCAACTGAGCAGCAATTGAGGCTACACAGAGTTGATCTGCTGTGGTTAAAGCAGGGATTAAGACATTCTGGGTTCAAGCCCCACTGGTTGATTAGGACAAAGTAATTCAACTCTCCTTGTCTCAATGTCCTCATCAGTAGAGTGGGAATAATTAAACCTCCCCTACAGACTGTTTTCGTCATCACTGAATAAGATTACATGCCGGAAATATGCAGAACACTTGGGATGTTAGAAGCCTTCAAATGTCAACAGCATTATTATTCAGTTAGTGAACAGATTTTACAGGAAGAACAACTAAATGCTTTATATATGTAAAATAACCAATCAAAATTCCATATACTCACAGGACTGACTTTCTAATAGAGAAAGAGAAATCATTAACAAAAATGTCTAGAGCATGCATATTAGTTGGTGATAAATATTATGGAGAAAAATAAAGCTCAGGAGCAGGGATAGGACATGTATTAGTGTGAAGAGGGGTGGGTTGTAATTTTAAACCGATTAGGGAAAGCCTCACTGAGAAGGTAACAGGGAAGCAGAAAGTAGAGGAGAGGGAGCCAGGCATTTGGGTATCAGGCCAAAGAGCCTTCTTGGAGGAAGGGACACATGTGACAATCCCACAGCCGGGCAGGGGGTGCCTGATATACTTGTTGAGTGGCAAGGAAGCCAGAGTGGCTGCAGTGAGCATGTGAGAGGGGCTGAAGTAGGATTGGGTCTCTATAGAGTACAGACTGTGTAGAACCTTCTAGGTGACTAGGTCTGTGGATTTTGTTCGTATGATATAAAGCCATTTGGGGGTTTTGATCAGAGGAGTGGCACGATTAATATGGCTGCATGGGGATAAGGGTAAAGTCAGACAGACAAGTTAGAGGTTATTGCTGAAGTTCAAGTGAGAAATGGTGATGGCTTGGACTATTTCTGGCACCTAGAAAAATGAGAGGAGAAGTCTTAAAGAGGAAAGGTGATGCTCAAATATAAGATAGTATTTGCTAGTAAGGCCTTAACATGAACTCAGTAGTAAAATCATTTACCATTACCATGAGTCTGATATTTAATCAACACCAGTGGCACTGGGCCTGCTATTAGGCACTGGGGACAGGAAGGAGACCTGACCTTTGCCTCTGGGAGGCCTTCAGTGTAGCAGGATTATAGAGAAAACAAAAATATTATGTCGACACCAAACACAACCACAGCTGTAGCAATATAATCATTCTATAATTATGATGGGATTATTAGCCTGCACTTATTGCATATTTTCTATGTGATAGACATGCCTAGGGATATTATTATGATGTAATATATTATAATCATTATATGTGGGTGTTCTTCTTTGTAATCAAACTAGACTTCTACAGAGTTAGAGAACTAGTGGCTAAAAACCTAATTTAACAGCCTGAAGGCATTGTTTTTGTGCTCTATAAACAGATTGTCAAGGATTTTGCCTCCCTGGTACCTAACAAAAGTCCATACCAGAAAATGCATGTGTCATTTTTTTCCCAAGTGTCTTCTTTGCTTATAATCTATAAAATCATATTACTAGTATCTAATAACAATGATTTGCCAGCCTATTTAAATTCTCTTTATTGCATGTTTTGTTTTGTTTTTCTTTTTAATAATCTGCCTTGAAGAAGTTTAAGCTGAAACTGTTGCTCAGCTCCCGAGATGCTGCAACCCAAATTGCATGCGCTCTTCTGCCTCTGCTGCTGCCTCACCCTGGTTCATCCTTTTGACCGGCAAGATGTAAATCCTGTTGACCATGGTAAACCAACAGGTAAGAGGTACATTTATCAAAGCTTGTGCCCCTGACCTGTTGCCAGACTCGCAGTGGCCTCACAGAAGTTGGCCTGGGAGCAAGCTTGAGTAGGAAGATGCTCATGGAGGCCCTCTGTTCTCCTGGGGTGTGGGACAGGGCCACCCTGTCTCTTCATTCCAAGCACCTGTCTTCAAATATGATGCCAGCAGGAGAGAACCAGACAAACCGGAAGCTCAACTTGCAGTCCCCATGGAGAACTCCCTCACGGCCCTGACCCACTCCCACTCCAACATAGTAACCCAAATCCCCTGGAGCTGCCTCAGGAGCAACCTCAAAACCTGCCTCTTCACAGGGGAGAAGAGTCAGGCTCACGCCCAACAGCTGTAGTGCTGGTAGTGGTGGTGTGAGAAGTGCCAATTTAGGGTGTGGGGATGCAGAGGGAAACAATCTTTTCTACCTAATGACAGGGAGAAGTGGGTGCTAAAGAGCCCCAGATAAGAATGGACTGCGTGGCTCCCTCTTTCTTACATTGTGGTGGGAGGGAAGGAGAGGCATGGAAGGAACAGACAAGTCCAGGAAGTGAAGCCAGAGTGGGACAGCCATCTCTAGACAGATACATCTCCCATCACCAAGAAGGAACTTTATTTCAAAGAGATTGCCTCTGGAGCTTTGCGCTTTCCTGCTAACCCCAGAGGGTTGTGATGCATGAACTCCTTTATCCAGCCTCTTCAGATAAGCAGTGTGGGTGGCTTCTGAATGGTGTCCTAATACCTGTACCCACAGACCTGTGCACCTGGATAGATATGGTTTCTCTGTATCGAGATATTCAGGCTAGGTGGTGACTCATTGCTGTAGCATTTACAGAAGGCTTTTAATAACCCAGTGCCTTATAGATGAATTTCACCCTACATCATAGTTGGGGCAATGAATGCATCAGTAGGAGAGGGATTTCACCTTATATCTACATTTGCATAAGAAATGGCACAATATCTCACAGGTCCATTCATTCAACACCTAACAGGAAACTGAAGCATCAGCGATACATTGGTGACTACGCCAACAAGTTTGTAGTCAAGTTTGAGGAGCCTACAGCCTAATTAAATTAATTTTCCATTACCACTCATGTTTGAAAATGATTGGAGAGCTGTTTTTGGACTGGCAGAAGCTGGAGACACTGCCTTGTTCATCTCTGTAGTCCTAGCATTGAGCCCAATTCCCCATTCACTTTAAATGCTCAAAAATGAATGGACAAACATTTTTTAATTATTAGAAATAGCTTATTAAATAAAAATTAAAAGATGATTATATTCTTCTTACTAAACAAATACATAGGAAATACAGGTATGCAGGTAAAAGGCTTTAAGTTTAGGCTAAAGATAGTTTATTTGCTAATGGAGGACATAAAGCCATGTAAGAGAATGCAATATCCCTAGCATGTACACAGTCCATCTCCAAACTCAGGAATGAACATCAGAAGTATTTAAAAATGAATCCCATCAGAAATGTGTAATTGACTAACAACATACAAGCTTTCTGATGCTTTTAGGAAAATTAAGTTGAAGAAAAATAGGAAGTGACATAAATCTGAACCACAGAATTATGTCATCTAGAGAATGGCCATCAATCTGACAATTGACTTCCCCGCCTCTTTCTTCATGAGGAGTCCTGATAGGTGGGTAGAGTTCAGGAAATCCAAGACCATGACCAGGTTATCTGCAAGCTAGCTTTAGAGAACCAGAGCACTCCTCGATGATTGAAATAGGTTCCCAAGGAACAGGTGGAATTGAGATCTCCCAGGGAGAACCTTGTGCATCTGGAACCCTCTGACGACTCTAAAACTGAACCCCCAAATCAAAAGGTAATGCCTCCAAGGAAGCTGTGGGTTCATCACCAAACTCTGAGAGCCAGAGTCCTTCCCCTCACTCACTGAGCAGTCACACCGTGGCTACCTTTGGGCAGGGCACAGCAGCGCACAGGGCAGCTGTGGCCTATCCCACTGTTCTCTGAACCTGACATCTCCCTATTACACCACAGCATGGCTCAGTAGAGAGTCTTAAATGGGAACATGCCTTTTGTAATTTTAAATTGACCCTAAAATTTTAGCTTATAGGTATGTGTGTGTTTTTTAAATCTCTTAAGAAATGCCTTGGATTTTGAATCTACCTCAGATAGGTATAATATGGTTTAGCTTAGGGCAGCTAAAAACTACTCTAAAAGATTGAATTTGGTAGCCAGAGTTAACTAGGTCTAGGTAAGGGACAGATTATATTGGTCTTTTACCCATTATATGTTAGGTACTTAACTTACTAGTATGTTTATAGCATCCTTACAACTGTAGGCTTGTCAAGTACTTTATCCCCACTTTACAGGAGAGAGGGGAATAAATCACCTACTCCAGAGCATCTGAGTTTACAAGACTAAATTCCCCAGTTGAAATTCAAACTAGGATCACCTGACTCCTAGACCTGGGGTCCATCTTACCCTCTGCCTTCCTTGAAACTATCTGCTACTGTTTGACTATGAATTGCTGACTGAAGGTGGTCTGGTACCTTAGGCCAGTGCGTCTTCAACTTTAATAGGCACACCTTTTCTGGTTCAGTGGAATTGGGGTGAGGCCTGAGATCCTGTGTTTCTAAGCTCCCAGGTGATGCCAATGATGCTGGTTCATGGACCAACTTTGAGTAGCAAGGCCTTATCAAAAGGCTCATTTCCAGCATGTGCTTCAACAATTACTCAACAAAGTGGAGGATATACATAGGCTTCTAATTACATCTCAAAATCTTTCTGGATGATTCCCTAAGATATCAGTGCAGGTGCCATTTCTCACATAGTTGTAGGTATCTTAGTGGCAGAGAGAAAATGTGATGGAAAGCATGAAGGTGTCTCTCTGACAGAGGAATCAATTCACAGTCCAACAGAGGGAAAGGAGTGGGCAAGCTGAATCTAGAAAAGTCAGACTGAATATATACTGATATTTGGACTCAGAATCTTGAAATTAAATATTGATTGGGATTTAGAAAGGAGAACAGATGAAATAAAACTGCAGGTGTGTTGAAGGGTTTTGACACCTGAGAGAAAGTTTCAAGAGTGGGTGGGTAAGAGAATAAATACCATAAAGCATTTGACAGAAATGACAGACCAGTGGCAGTGAAAAGCTTACTTCAGCTCATTTTCATAAATATTATTGCGCGCTGGCCATGTAGCTCTGAGGATACAAAAAACATTGGATACAACTCTTAAGAAATAGGCCACTATAGGAGACTTGAGTGTGCAAACACATAATCTATATAATAAAAGTCTAAGAGACCCTTAGCATTAAGGTGGAACAATCAGAACCACCAGTCACTATGATGTGAACTGACCACCAGGGGGCAGATGCTTAACACAGGAGCGTCTGTCTGCACAGCCAGAAGCCAGTCTCATAGCACAGTGGTGGTGGTGGTGGGAGCCTCTCCTGCCTACACAGCAGCATTATGGAGCAGCAAACAGGCAGATGTTAAGGAGTCAGGGCTCCTGGACTGCGAGAGGGAGGTCTGCCAGAGGCTCCTGGACTGAAAGAGGGCATAGGCTGGGCTGAGGGGTCCTCCCTCAGTGCATGAATTTCATGCACTGGGTCTCTAGTCTTAATATAATATGATATGAAGAATGCTAAAAACACATACAGGGAATTGATTTAATACTAAGGATAAAATGGTTATTTCTTGGGGATTAAAAAAAGGTTCAGAGAAGACCTAAAAACTAATCCAGATGTTAAAAGTTGAATGGGATTTTGCTACAGTGATTTCAAACACAGGGATTAACATTTACAAAGGTGCAGAGGTGTCAGACAGCCCAGTTGTGGCTCAGGTGCCTGGAGCACATGGAAGGGAGATACAGGAAAAAAGCAGAAGAGTATGAGGTAGTGGAACTCTGGATTATGGAGGGTCTTTCTTACAGAGCCCAGGAATTGGGGGGTTTAAGTTGTGTGCCTATGAACACGTTTTAACCCCAGAACACAGGGAGAAAAGGCCATGCCTCAAGTAGCAATGGAAGTAGCTTAGGAAGGCATGTGTAGATTTAAATCACTTACAAACTGCCTTCCAAAAAGATTGCAGTACATTCTCTCTTCAAGAAAAACTGTGTGGTGGTAGGAAGCCATTGAAGGATTTTGCAAAGAATTGCCTGGTGAGCTTTGTGTTTTAATCACTCCAGGATCTGGGTGAACTTTGCATTTGAAAAGGCAAATTGCAAGGTTAATAGAGCAGTTAGGAGAGAAACTGTCTGGTCCAGAGGCAGGGAAGGTATGTATGAGACTGTGGTGCCAGAGGGCTAGGAGTATATTGGAAAGAGAACAAATGTTAGAAATTGAGAGTTGGTTGGATGTAGGGGTTTTGTGAGAAAGAGGTGGGAAAGAGAGATGACCCCTTGCTCCCAGGTTTGTGGTTGAAGGATGAGGTGGGGAAGTAGGGAGGATGTTATTTAGTTTTATTTTGGGCCATTGGCTTTGATGCTCCTTTGGAAGGACATCAGGTGGGGATACGAAATGGGGAATTGTAAGCACAAATCAGAAATAGGAGATAAGGTTCATGTTTAGAGGAAACAGACTTGGGAAGTGGTCTTTAATATGGTCTGCATTGGAGCAGAAGGTAAGGGCAAGGCTATAAGTATTAGAAGGTGAAAGTGCTAAGGATCTTGTGAGAAGGCCTGTGTCTGCCTCCATCTTTTCCCTCACATAGTACTTTGCATACAGCAGGTTCCCAATGCTAACTTGTATATTTTTTTAGTTAGTAAAAAAATGAAGAAGACCAGACATTATGGGTGGGAACTTGATTCCCTTGGAATTTCTTTGCACAATTATATCTGGGTTGTAATGAATGACAAGTGAGATAACATGCACCTGTTTTTCAGCACGGATCAATAAATTACAAGTTATAATGGATGTTGTGACCATGGGCCAGACCAAAATCCCCAAAGGAAGTGGACCTTATCCCGTTGGTTGTACAGACCTGATGTCTGAATATACTAAACAGGTGATGCTTTAAAACCACTTGTATTGGAATATTGACTTGCTATGACTCCCTAGAGGTTTTGAAAGTTGAACTTGTCCTCACCTGAGAATGACTCACTTTGTGATTTGTATTGCTTTGAAGGAAGTTTTTTTTTTTTTTTTTTTTTTTTTTTAGTTAAGTCATTCCCCAATTCATTGCTGCCATCTAATTAACTTAACTACAAACTCTATTTTTCCCCTTCCTTAATGACTGAAACCAGGCTCACTTTCTTTTCATCACAAAAGCTTGTTGTTGTTCTATTTATCTTCTTCTTTGACTGTATTCAGTTATGACAGCAGCTTAAAAAGTTCTGTGGACTTCTTTTGTGAGCAAACGAGATATTTGGGTACCCACCAAAATAGCTGTTGGAATCTGAGAAGTGACTTAACTAAAAGTGCATTAATTTCTTTCCTCTCCAGAGCACCTTCTTGCGTCTGTATTATCCATCCCAAGATAATGATCACCCTGACACCGTGTGGATCCCAAACAAGGAATATTTTGATGGTCTTAGTAAATTTCTTGGAACACACCAGCTTGTGGGCCACGTTTTGAACTTCTTATTTGGTAAGATTTCTGCTGATCCTGCTTTATACACTCCAGAATATAAGACCGTCTTGGAAACAGTGACAGTTTCAGACAGTTAAGGACCAAAGTAGAGTTTCATCAATCTAAACTAAGATAACAAAGAAAGTACATATTTCTTGAAAGGTCAAAGGCCAGGTAACTATCAATGAATCAAAGGTTCTCATTTTGTCCATTCTGAATATGATGGGATGGGTGGAGGGAATGAAAGTATCAGACTTTCAGATTGGCTCTAACATCTCTCAGTGGCAGGTCTTTCGTTTACTTTTTACATATTGTGGGGGAGCAATAATATGGCAAAAGCAGAAACTGGGCCAATGCAACTACTATGCCTTATGCTCTGTGCTAAAATGCTATCTACAGGCCAGCAACAAGAGAAAAAAAGTAGAAGCTACCATCCATAATTTTCAAATCTCAAACTATGGAGCAAAAGCTAATTTTCTACTGAGCATAAATGAGAGATTTTATTCTCATTCCCATCCCCCACACCCAAGGGACCAGCCTCTCTCCCAAAGACAACCTGATATGCATTCATCACTTAATTTGTCTACCCTCATGAGTATAGACTTTCCTTTCTTATTTATCTGTTTGACCAGGCACTACTGTTGGGCTGGTGTTAACTATATCTTCAGATTTTCCCCTAAAAACTACCTACAGCTTTTGGCATTTATTTTAAACATTTTTTGGGAGTTTTCTTAAGAACTAGTTATCTTTGTGGTGCTTGATTAACTTACACATCATTTCTGTAGCAGTCATCACATTTGGTTCATGATCACATCTCCATGTTCTACATGAGAAAGGAAACACAAATAGTCCATGAAAATAATGACAATTGAGAAGTGAAAGAAGGAAAGACAATAGCTTCCATTTTTGTGGCCCTTACTATTGACTGCATAGGTGCTTTACATGTGTTACCTACTTAAATATAATTGTCACAAGAAACCCCATGAGATAGATTATCATTTCTATATATATATATATATATATATATATATATATATATATATATATATATAATAAAAAAAACAAAAATAATTTCCTGGTGCACAAAATTCCTCAGCACGGCCTTCACCCTCTCCAATCTAGGATCCTAGGAAGGCTATCCTACTGCTGGTTTACAGGGATTGAGCCTAAACCAGCAGTCACACATTGCTCTCACAATCCAGGACTGCTGGCTCCAGCCAATCACCTGCCTGCCTGCCTGATTGCCCCTAACCACTTTGCCTGCAGGCCTGCTCACCCCCAACTGCCCCCTACCACCAGCCTGATCACCCCCAAATGCTGCTGCTTACCCCCACCTTACCTCCCCACTGGCCTGCTCACTTCCAACTGGCCTCTTGCTGGCCTGCTCACTCAAAACTTCCCCCCCCCCATAGTCCTGACCCCCCTGCTGGTCTACTTACTCCTAGTGGCCCCTGCCCCTCATTTATTTATTTATTTATTTATTTATTTATTTATTTATTTATTTTTTTCCCCCAGTGCCTTCTTTAGCGGAGGCCAGAGCCAGCTGGAAGCAAGTATCTAGGATTATTTATCTTCTATAATTGAAACTTTGTATCCATGAGCTGAGGCCAGGGCAACCAGGGCAGGTGGGAAGCTTGGCTTCCTCCATCACTAGGGCACCCCAAGCCTTTTGTTTGCTACAGCTCTATGGCCAGCCGCCATCTTGGTTGGGTTAATTTGCATATTTGCTCTTGATTGGCTGGAGGGCATGGCTTGTGGGCATAGCGGCATGATTGTTAATTTGCATATTTCTCTTTTATTAGTGTAGATGAATCTTAATTTTAGACAGTTATCTTACCTTACCTATGGTGAATAACTAGTGAGTGGCAGAGCTGTGGCCAAAGCCACATCTGAGTATAAAGTCAATGGTCTCTTCACCTTTCTCTTGATCATGACCCATATAGAATGAGAGGCATCTCCTATTCAAAGATTCTGACTTTCATTGTAATGTCCCTGAGGTTTAGTTTGTTTTTAGAGCATTCTCTTTGAAGTTTTCCCAAAACCTGGGATTGGTAGTAAGGAATATCCTTCTTAAATATGCCTCTAAGTAGTAAAATGTCTCACCTTAAGCTCAAAACTGATCATTAATAATCCTGTGCTCTTAGGTAAAAACCCAAGGTTCAGATACCTTGATGAGTATCTAGTAGGAGAATTTTTAATGAATGCATAAAAATATAAATTCCATGGGTCAGGATTTTATACTGAGATATAAGTTAAATTAACCAGCAACATTCAAGTAAAAACCCCTATTTATAACCTTTCATTGCTGTCTAGGTTCAAAAACCACACCTGCAAGCTGGAATGCTCCAGTGAGGACTGGTGAAAAATACCCACTGATTGTTTTATCTCATGGTCTTGGAGCATTGAGGTAAAGTTTGAGAGATTAAACAATTTCAGCCATGAGGGATCGATGTATTCCCCAGCCCCAAAAGGAGTAGCAGATTTTGGAGTGTCCTGGAGGAGTTGAGTTTCCTCAAGAATTGGCTATGATCTATTATTGATCAATTCTAGCCCTGTCATTTCCACCTACCAGCTCCTGGAGCCTCGTCTCACAACAGAGTAGAGAGTGTGTTGCATTTTTTGGATGTTGTCCTTCTGTATTATAATATTTATACTCTCAAAATCATCCACTGTGTTAGTTCAGGGTCCCTGAGAAATAGACCCCAAGATTGGATTAGCTGTGAAAGACAGCTATTGAGAGAAAAGCCTATGAAGGATAGAGGGGAAGGATCAGGATAGGGAGAGCCTTCAGATTATGATGCAGGGTGGACATTTGGGAAGGAGATTAGAAACATGGGTTTATAGTTTCTACTGTAGAACACAGGTATGTTACCTGGTATGTAGCGGGGCTTTCAGTTTCCTAAAGGCTGATTGTGTAGGAAGAGTCTCAGACTGTAGCACAGTTCTAAGAGGCCAGTAGGAGAGCTTGACCCAAAGTTGTTCATCCAAGGATCCAGAGGGGTTTGAAGCTGGGCGGGGACTTTAGACAGCTCTAGTCTCAGTAGCATGATATCTGATTGGCTTATTTTCATGATCACTATACCCTTTCCACTTTCTTCTTACATCTTCTCTTCTGCCTTCCCTTCCTCCGACTCAGAGGATAATACAACTTTCAGAAAGATAAAAGGTGTTTTTCAGCTAGAAAAAAGTTGGGTAGCATCTGCAATAAATGATGTTTAGTTCTTGAATTGTGGTCTAGCTATTTATTAGAATTCTATGGCCAAATCCAGTCTGCTACCTGATTCTGTAAAGTTATATTAGAAGACAGTCCTTTTACACATTGTCTGTGGCTACTTCTGTGTGATGACAGCACAGTTGAGTAGTTGTGACCATAAAGTATGGTGCACAGAACTTGACAGATATACTGCCTGACATTTTACAGAAAAGGTTTTCTGATCCCTGTGCTAGATTATTGTCCCTATAGTTCCTGGATCTTCAGGGGTAGAAGACATAGTTCCTCCCTACCTCCTTTTTATTCTTTTTGGACATTTTTTACTGAATGCATGATATGAGAAAATTGTGCAGATTGGAGATGTGGAAGGGGGTTACAAATGCAGTGGCTTTGCACACGCCTGTTAAACATCTCACCCTGTCCAGTCATTTAAACAGCAGCTGACATGCTCAGTAATGACTCTGTTTTAGACATTATTATAAGCACTGAAAATGTACTAATTTACTCAGTCCTCAGAATAATCCCACTAGATGCCATACTGTTATGCATCACCCTTCTACAGATAAAAGAAAACCAAGGCAGACGTAAGATAGGTGACTTATCCAAGGTCATAGCTAATAAATAGTGGAACCAGGATTCAAACACAGTGGCAGGACTGTAGATCCCATCTCTTAAGCACCACACAGTACTGCTTTCCTATACACATTATCTTATGAAACCTTACAGCAAAGCCTTTATTAGCCCCACTTGACAGGTGAGGGCAAAAAAAATCAGAAATGTAATTACCCAAAGCCATGTGTCTGGTAAATGGCAGAGCCACAATTAATACTCAGAACTCTCAAAGGCAGTATTGATACTCATTGCACCAGGGCTTCTCAGCCTTGGTACTGTTGATGTTTTGGGCTGGATAATTTCTTGTTGTGGAGGGTAGGTATCCTCTGTATTGTAGGATGTTTAGCAGAGTCCCTACCCACCAGATGGCAGTAGCACCCTCTCCCAACTCATGATAATGAAAATGACAATAGATGTTAAATAGTCTGAGAGACAAAATCGCTTCCCTTTGAGAACCACAGCTCTCTGCTTTACTCCAGGGCACTACTCCAGGGTGTAACAGCCCAGGTTTACTAGCAAATGCCACCTTGTAATCATGACTGGCAGTTGAATACTCCCCTCTTTTTGTTTTGAAGGACAATTTATTCTGCAATTGGCAATGACCTGGCATCTCATGGATTTATAGTTGCTACTGTAGAACACAGGTATGTCACCTGGTTTATAGCTGGGCTCTAACTTTCCTAAAGGTTGACAGAAAATGTTGAATGGTCAGCTATGACTCTATATAAAAAAGGGAGACTGAGCTAGCTCTTCAAGAATTACAAAAGCAGCTAACATTTCTAGAGGTTTTTTTTTTTGTGTGTGTGTGTGTGTGTGTGTGTGTGTGTGTGTGTGTGTGTGCTGTATTTGCACATCATCTAATCCTCATAGCCACCCTATGAGATAGTTACCATTATCACTGTTCTAAGAAGGAGGAAAAGGAAGCCAGCAAAGCCACATAGCTAGTAAGTGACATTGCTAGATTTGATTCTGGGAGGGAAATTTCAACATGGCCTCCGGAAATTGTGAAGATAGAATGGGTTGAGTTTACTCACAGTGATGTCTTAAAAAAAAAAAAAAAAAAAAAATATATATATATATATATATATATATATATATATATATATATGAAGAAGGGAGAGAAATAGAAGCATCAATGCTGAGAGAGAATCATTGATGGGCTGCCTCCTGCATGCCCCCTCCTCCCACACACACAGGATCAAGCCCATGACCTGAGCATGTGCCCTGACCGGAATCAAACCATGACCTCCTGGTTCATAGGTCAATGCTCAACCCTGAGCCACACCGGCTGGGCATGATTTTTTGTTTTTTAATGTAGTAGAGAGGAAGAAAGGGACGTCAGGAAGGTCAGAGTGACATTGAGTCAAGGTGGGAAAGAGGAACTTGGGTGCAATGGGGAAGTGTAAGTAATTGATTCTGTTTGTGTTGAAGAGATGGATCCGCCTCTGCGACGTACTATTTCAATGACCACTCTGATGCAGAAATAGGGAACAAGTCCTGGCTCTATCTCAGAACCCCACAACAAGGGGAGAATGAGGTGCTTCTACGAAATTCGCAGGTACACTGTGGTCAGGGCAGGTGGTGGCGTGGGGACTAAAACGCACAGGCAACAAGATGATATTTGCTAATTTAGATTTATACTCAGCAAGCTGTGCTCCTTGCACTCATACTTCCCATTGCCCAAAGAATCATCAGCAGGTTCTCTCAGTAATACAATCCCCTTAGTGAAATGTGTGGGTCATCGTGAAATCAAAGACAAGCAAAATTCTGGGAGATGATCGTGATTATACAGAATTTTTTTGCATTACAACTTCTCATTTTGAAATCTCAAGGTAGATTCATAGTCCCGTCAAAAAGACTACTTTTCAGAGAAGGAGCATAGCATAGTATTAAGAGTCTAGGCCTTAGGATCCTACTTTCTACACTTGAATCCTGGAGCCGTCACTTTTCAGTGGCATCATCTTGGACAAGTTAATTTACTGTCCCTGTTTTCTCTGTTACAAAATAATGAGTACTAGTGTCTTTCCCACAGAGCTGTTGGGAAGATTAAATGAAATTGAGCTCACTGGCTCCCACCCTGTGATGGCTTTCCATTAGGTGCTTTACATATGTTATTGCACTGAATCCCACCCAAATTTCACTGAGGTAGGCAGCATTAGACAGGAAAAGGAAGCTCAGAGAGATGAAGTCACCTGAGGTCACACCGTGGCTAAGCAACCGAGCCGGGATGTGGACCCCACAAGGCTGGCGCCAGCATCATGATGCTGGGCTGTTTTCTAACCACTCACTGCTCAGACAGTTTATAAGCAGCTGACCATTGTTCCCACATGCAAGCTCTACACAACATTAAAATAAGTTGTAAAGTATTACAACTTTTACTTTGTCACTTCCTTCTTCTAATAATCATTTCAGGTGCAACAAAGAGCAAAGGAGTGTTCCCAGGCTCTCGATGTGATGCTTTCTGGAACACCAGTGAAGAATGTATTAAAATTAGAGTTTGATATGCAACAGCTGCGGGTGAGCTATGAAAGCCCTTTTCCCTGTCCTGTAGTTCTTAGCTCTTTATTCTCTATTGTTTGCTTTTCTGCTGTAATACAGGGTACAACGTGATAAAGGGCTGCAAAAAAAATTTAAAAAGGTGAAGTGTTAGGGCAAGGAGGAATACATTAGGTTGAACTATATATAAAGTTGCCAGTAGTCAGTGTATAAAAATGGCAGTTCCACGTGATTCAATTTAACACCTCCAGTAAAAGTACTGTGACTTCTTGGATGGCTCCTGCATGTTTTGAGCTTGATCCTGGATAGCTGGTCCACAAGTTTTAGAGACAGTGTTGAGAGGGAAAGAATTTGGGACCAAGTGAAGAGCATAAACAAAGACTCAACAGTGGGTGTGGAAGGTGCAGTACAGGGAGTAGAGGCAACTAGAAGTACTTGAGTTTAAGCACACGATGATGGTCGCCACTCTCTCTCTTGCCTCCATGCCTTTGTATGTTGTCCTCTTGGCAACATGGCTCACCCCACCACCCGGACTAAGTGCTGCTTAATTTTCAACTCAGGTCAGCCAGCAGCTCATCCAAGAAAAGCTTTCTTGGACCCACTGCCCAGCCCTGGCGTGGATTAGCTACCTATCATAGGTACTCCTTGCTACCACTCCATTGTATTTGCATCATGCATCTGTATGTCTTGCCTTCCCACTAGCTGTGAGCTCACTAGAAATGAGCTATAATGCCTTGTATAGAGCAGGCACTCAATAAATCCTCATGGAATGAACAAAGTGATAAATATGAACTGGGGAAAGGGAGAAGTCAGAATTGATGATGTTTTAAGTGTGGGTGACTAGGATGACCATTAAGTTCACTTCTGAACTTTTAAAAATGCTTACCATATATATGTGCAGATGTATTTGAGTGTACACATTTATGTGTGTGTACTGTGTGTATATTTGTATTTGTGAGAATCCTATCTAATAAAAGAGTAATATGCAAATTGACCATATCTCCACTACACCCACAAGCTATGCCCACCAACCAATCAGGAGCAAATATGAAAATTAACCCAACCAAGATGGCTGCAGCCATGGAGAGAGCAGGAGGTTTGGGTTGCCTCTGGCAATGGAGGAAGCCAAGCTTTCTGTCTGTCCTGGTGGGCCCAAGCCTCTGCTCAAGGCTACAATGTTTCAATTATAAAAGATAAATAAATCCCAGATACCAGGGCCTCTGCTTGGGTCGCTGGAGGGCGTGGCCAGCCTGCAAACCACCATAGGCCCCTTGCCCAGGCCACCCAACACTCCAATGGAATCTCCACCCTGATTCAGGACACCATTCAGGGCAAAACAGCTGGCTTCCACCTATGCACCAAACCTCTATCCTATCTAATAAAAGGATAATATGCAAATTGAACATCACTAACACACAAGATGGCTTCCCTCATGTGGTCAAAGAAGACTTCCCCTATGTGGACACAAAATGGCCACCATAAGATGGCCAGCAGGGGAGGGCAGTTGGGAGGGACCAGGCCTGCAAGGGAGGGCAGTTGGGGGCAATCAAGCCTGCAGGTGAGGGCAATTAGGGTTGACCAGGCTGGCAGAGAAGGGAAGTTGAGGGCAACTGGGCCTGCAGGGGGGAGCATTTGAGGAGGGACCAAGCCTGCAGGGGAGGGCAGTTAGGGGTGACCAGGCCTGCAGGGAAGAGCAGTTAGACACAAACAAGTTGGCAGAGGAATGATTAGGGTATGATCAGGCTGGCAGGCAGAAGTTGTTAGGGGCAACCAGGAAGGCAGGCAGGTGAGCAGTTGGGAGCCAGCAGTCCTGGATTGTGAGAGGGATGTCTGACTGCCTTGAGGGGTCCCAGATTGGAGAGGGTGCAGGCTGGGCTGAAAGACACACACACACTCGTGTGTGAATTTTGTGCACAGAGCCTCTAGTTTCTTTTATAAGAAATCAAGGTTTTGCCCATGAATTGAATACTAATTTTCTGATTAACAAAATGATTTACTCTATTTTTCTAACAACCTGTGAGATAGTTATGAATTTATGTCATGCTTTTTCACTTAGGATTCCATCGATAGAGATAAAATAGCAATAATGGGACATTCTTTTGGTGGAGCCACAGTTATTCAGGCTCTTCATGATGACCGGAGATTCAGGTAAGAGAATGAGACAAAGAGACAGAACAGTAATTTATTGGAAGCGGGGAATGATAACCTACGTGAATTATAATTTTATCAAATTCTTAGTAAGGAAGGTATCCTTTGAGGCTTACAAGTCTATTCTTGTGCCTCTATTAAATACTCTCTGTGAACTTTCTTAAGCAAAAAACATCTGATTTCACTGCTATTAAAAAAGTTTCCCCTCCCCCATATGTTTTCCCTCATTCTTATTCATCTGTTTGAGGGCTTACCATTTTTACTTGGAAATGTACCTTTATATACACATTTTATCAGCAACTTAAGATTATGATAATAATGTAGCCATCTCATACTCCCTAGTATTTTTTTTTTTCATCTTTAATTTGGAATGAGGTCTGAAATACTCCGGTGTTCTAACATGAGGAAATATTTACTGTCTTGAACTACTTCATCCCAGAATGATGAGCTCACATGGAGTTTACCAGATAGAAAGGGAGGATCACTTGTGAAACTCCTCGCATTTCTTAAAATCTGTCTCAGAAGAAGGAGTTTCTCTTCCTTAGTCCATTTAGCACATACAACAGTGTCCAAAAAGTCATGAAATATAGGATAAACTGACTTGTAAAAAGAAAGTTAGTGATTGGGAGTATCTGTATACTATAAACAATAAAATAAAGAATAAAGAAGTAAAATAAAGAAAGTAATATTTTCAAGCGATATCCCCATATGTTTTTCTTCAATGCCCAGACAATTTTCCAGGTACAGAACCTCTAAATATAAAGCAATGGTCCAATTGTTACTTTAAGAAAAGATATAATAAACAGACTATGGAGTATCCAGAAAGTTTGGAAACATAGGAGCAATAATGTGTGCATTGAATTTTTTTTTTAAACACCCACAATTTTGAAGAAATTAATACTTTTCAAAAAAAAATTTTTTGAAAATAATATTAAAATGAATGAAAAATTTAAAGATTATATACAGTTCTAAAGGTCCCAATTCCTAAATGCCTCTTAGAGAAAAATGATTACATATTTCCCACATCTGTGACCTTATAAAGCTAATCATATCTCGTTCTCACATGAAGTATAATACCAGTGAGATGACCATCATGGAACAGTGTGGTGCGTGTTCATTAGTCCTGGCTTTATTAGAAAGCCCTATATGTTTGCCAGTGTGTAACCAGCCTTCTGTTATCATCTTAACAAACACCTGCAGGTGCGGTATTGCCCTGGATGCATGGATGATGCCCCTGAATGATGAAATATATTCCAAGTTTTCTCAGCCTCTCTTTTTTATCAACTCTGAAGGGTTCCAAACACCTGCTAATATCTTAAGTATGAAAAAATGCTACGCACCTGGTAAAGAAAGAAAAATGATCACAATCAGGTAATAGCAACTGACTTCATTATCTGAAATAGAAACTTGAAACTTGGATAAACCACAATAGATATCAGCCATTAAAGGACTATTAAATTTGTTGTATAGATTTTCAATAAGCGAGATTAGAAAATTCTCAGGTTCTAAGTGCATTTAGATTTACTCTTTTTAAAATGTAAGTGTTCAATGGTGTTACTATATGTAGCTCATCTACACTAATAAAAGAGTGAAATGCAAATTGACCTTGCCTTCATGATACCCACCAGCCAATCAGGAGTGAGTATGCAAATTAACCCAACAAAGATGGTGAATTAATTTGCGTATGAAGGCTCTGAGTGGCTGTGGGTGGGGTGGGACACTTCATCATCACCACAGTGAAAATGTGGGCATTTTGCACCATCCTAGACACTCCAGGCCTCTGGGCAGCATGGGAAGGCAGAAAGGCAGCTCCGGGCCGAAAAGGCGGCTCCTACCAGAGCAAAGGTGGTGCCCACAGCCAGGGGAAGGAAGGCCATTCTTGCATGAATTTTTGTGCATGAGGCCTCTAGGCTACTGATAATTAAAATGTGAGCTAAGGTGCATGCAACTTTCATGTAAACACAAGAGCAAGCTTACGCATTTTGTTGTCTGGGCAGAGGGAAGTTTTCCATTACCAGGCTAGAGTAGAAACTCTTTAGGAAAAAAGTCAGATAATCAGTTCAGACAGGCAATGTGTTTACCTATTTGGGAAAAACAAATTTATAAATTCCCCAAACTATAATGGGGTCCCCTGGTGTGTTGGCAATATGCTCATATCACGGATGTGAAAAAGAAATCACAAAAGGGTTCTGGACTCACAATGGGATGTTACAGAGCAAAGATAGTGTTCATCCCTCTCTTATATGAAACTGGTTTAGGTTTATTTCCAGGGATAAAAATATAGTATAGGCAATGAACACTTCAGGATCAGCAAATGGAAAGGTCTTTTACAACTGAGGTAGTCAGAAAAAGCTGCTTGGAAGAGATGGGAGTAGAATTGGGTTTTGAAGGATCGAGAGAGTTTAGACAGACTGAAGAAAAGGTCCAGATAAGGCAAAGACTTCAATGTAGCATATTTGCATGTGTAAGTCCAATTCTAAGGGAGAAATAGTATGGAACACCTAACCTATCTTTCACCCCACTTCCTTATTAGGCACTTTTCCCCCTTCCTTTTTCTGCTAGAAACCTTAAAAGAATGGCTTGTATGTAATATTGCATGTGCTTACTTGCATTTACTCTTGACACCTGTGGTCTAGCTTCCCAAACGCATGCACACCTCTCCCCCATGCTGAAGCTGGCCCTGCTGAGACTTTAAAAGCCCAGCAGTCTATGCCTTTCTCTCCATATCAATTTGATATTGTTGAGGACCCCTATTTCTCCTCCCCAAGCTACCCAGTCCTACTCTTCCCCTGCCATTTAGTATCTAAATTTTAGATGACTCCTCCTTTCCCTCCACCCTCTCCTTCTCCTTGGCCATCCTCTACTATGGGTAGTATCCAGGCTTCTGCTTTTTCCTAACCCTGTATCTGCCTTATTTATGAGTCCGATGCTCAAGTTTTGATTGGAAAGCAGGGAAGAATGAGCAGATGCCAAGTGGTTCTGTTTTGAGTACTGATAGCTAAGAGGGTTCACGGTTTGCTTATAAGCAGCAACAAAGTGGGGATGGGGGGAGAAAGAATTGCACCACATGGGGCCTGAAAAAATGTATTTTAATCTTGGTATTTCTCAGTTCCAGTTTGGAAAATATGGGCAGAGATGTCTGGCCGCAAATTGGAAATGCATATACTCTGTATGTTATAGATGAAACCTTTGGTGTGTATGAGACCACAAAGTGATAAGAGAAATGGCCTGAGAATAGAACCTTGAGAAATGTCTACATTTTAGGTGAAGAGCCAGGAAAAAACAGAGTACAAGGAAAGGGGCAGATGCAAAGTCAAGGAAACAAAGAGGGGAAAAATGCAACAAAATCAAGTTTCAAATGTCCCAGAAGTAATAAAAAATGAGCAATAAAAAAAGGCCATCCTATTTGATGGTAGGCCGTTGATGAATTTAATATGCAACTTTAGTGGTGTTTGGAAGGTGATTACATTTTAAATAATACAAGAAAACATGTTTTTCTAATCTACTTAATCCAAGGCTTAAATCCAAAGTGTCTTGATTAGCATCAAATAAATATCAAGTTAAGTGGTTGTATCGATAGTAAGGGTGCAGGCTTCTGGCTTTGAGTTCAACATATAACACATTCCATCTACTGAAATTGGAAATATTCTAGTCCCTTAAAAAGCTGGAATCATTTATTTTAAAGACAAGATGCCAAGCAAAACAGGAATCATTGCATTGTTTATCTAGAAGGTAAGACAAATACATTCTTTAGGATCCCTGAATGAACATTCTGTGACCCTCAAAATCATATCTAAGGAGATCAAATTAATAAATCTTGTTTCCTTAGTTTTCTATAAATAAGTCAACCAGGCCCTGACTAATGTGGCCCAGCTGGCTGGGTGTTGCTCTGGGCACTGAAAGGTCACCTGTTTGATTCCCTGCCAAGCACATGCCCAGGTTGCAGGCTCAATCCCCTCTAAGGGCATTCTGAAGGCAGCCGATGAATGTCTTGCTCTCACGTTAATGTTTCTCTCTCTCCCTCACCCTTCCTCTCACTTTAAAGATCAATTAACAGAAAAATAAGTTAACCCAGCCCATATCTTTCCTGTACTCTTAACTACAAACAATGTGATTTATAAATGTCTCATTTATCTTTCAGGGGTTCAGTCCATCAGAATTTTGCTGACTTCACTTTTGCAGCTGGCAAAGCACTTGGATACATATTCACACTAAAAGGAAAAATAGATTCAAATATAGCTCTCGATCTTTCCAACAAAGCTTCATTAGCATTCTTACAAAAGCATTTAGGTAAGAAACAAATATTCTTTCATTTCATAAACCAGATGATTCACAGAACAAAACTGTCTTTTATTATAGCACTAGCTTCATGTTAACTGTTTCCAGTGGTTTATAATTTAACATAGCAGTGAAATTGGTTTGAAAACTTGAGAAAATTTAATTTTGCAGCATTGCATACTATACATCAGACAGTAAGTCCACCTATTAGAGCCAACGGTCTTCCTGGTAAATAAGTCTGGTGTGGACTTCCATGTTGAGGATACTGTGCATGTTGTATCCATCTCATCTCATTCAGATGCAGCAGCTGGGCACCAGATACCTTGTATTCCTGAGCAGTACACAGATTATGTAATTTGTGTTGCTATGGTGCCACCTAGTGGCACTTAACTGTTGAACACTCGAAAATTTAATGTTTATTAACATTTATATTTTCCAGGACTTCAGAAAGATTTTGATAAATGGGATTATTTGGTTGAAGGAAAAGATGATCACCTTATCCCAGGGACCAATGTTGACACAACCAACATCCATGGCGCTCTACAAAACTCTTCAAGTGTAGGGGAATAGAATTTAGATTAAAAGTGCTTTTTAAAAAGTCTTGTTTTTAAAACTATTCAAAAGTGTGTATGTTGTATCGCTCTACCATAATAGTGACTGAAATTTGGATTAAATATTTTTTCCTTTAAATATAAAGGGAGACTACATTATGTAAAATTCTTAGCAGCCTAAATTTTACTCTTTACTAAGTGATCCTTTTTTAGTATCAAGTTAATAACTGTTTTTACATTACTTTAATGACCAAGGATATTAAAACAGGCATAATGTCAATAAAAAATGTTACAAGGATATAACACTCCCTAAAAATATATATTTTCTTGCCTTTTTTATTATTGTGAGCAGGAGAACTATATTTTAGCAACATGGTAATCTGGGTAGAATTTGGCAGCACTTCCCTTTGCTTCTGGTCATCTTAAGAAAACTCAGATCAAGCAGTCATAAAGCCATTATTTTACCACAGTGATACTATACAATTTGATACTATACAATTGAACATGATGCCTAAGTGGGGCATGGTCAAGGGTAAGATTATTGAAGATAGGCAAGGGCAACAAATTAAAGCAGATTAAAGGAAATGGGTGATTTGTTTGAATTTGTTTTAATGGTTTATTCCTGGCAGATCCTACTTACAAAAGAAAAGTGCATAAGACAGAGCAGAAATAGCACGGTACATATCACATTCAGTTATTTTTCACCAAAGGCAGGGTTAACAAAGGAAACATTCAGAGTCACTTTTAACTGCTTTATTTTTATGTTTTATTACTTTATTAAATATGGTTTTTTTATTGTTACTAATTTTTAGAGAGAGAAACATCGATGAAAGAGAAACATTGATCAGCTGCTTCCTGCATGCCCCCTACTAGGGATTGAGCCAAAAACCTGGACTTGGGCCCTGACCTGGAATTGAACCAGTGACCTCTTGGTGCATAGGACAATGCTCAATCAACTAGGTCACATCTGCTGGTCTTCAATTATTTTTATTTAATAAATCTTTTTAATTACATAGATAGTACTGGAAATAGAATATCACAATAAATGGAGGGAAAAGAATGCCTTAAACATTATGCACTTACTAGAGGCCTGGTGCATGAAATTAATGCACAGGGAAGAGGAGATCCCCTTAGCCCAGCCTGCACCCTCTCCAATCCAGGACCCCTCAGGAGAAGTCTGCCAGCCTGATCGTCCCTCACTGCCCTTCTCTGACAGCCTGTTTGCCCCCAACTGCCCCCCCCTGTTGGCCTGGTCATCCCCAACAGTCCCTCCATTGGTCTGATTGCCCTTCATGGCTCCCCCTGCTGGCCTGATAACTTGTAAGTCCCCCCTCCCCCATTGGCCTGGTCGCCCCTCACTGCCCCCCTCCCCCTGCCAGCCTGGTCACCCCACACTGTCCCCCACTCATGCTGACCTGGTCGCCCCACGCAGCAGCCTGCTGTTTGGTTATTGTGAGAATGTCCTGACCATCTGCATATTACCCTTTTATTAGTATAGATATGTGCAGGAGTCAAGGGAAACACTTTCTTTTTTTAGTTTCCCAAAGGGTATAAAAACTTACACCACTGAGCAGCTAAATATATTTTGGTCTAAGTATAGCCTGTTCCTCTGATTATTTTTTTTTTTTTACTTTTTTTTTTTTTACTTTATTAAGGTATCACATATTTGTCCTCATCCCTCTCCCCCATTCCCATCTCAAACCTCTCCCCACACATGCCTCCACCCCCCTGTTGTCCATGACCACTGGTTAGGCTCATATGGATGTACACAAGTCCTTTGGTTGATCTCTCTCCCTTATTCCTACCCTCCTCTACCTTCCCTCTGAGGTCCGACAGTCTGATCGATGCTTCCCTGTCTCTGGGTCTGTTCTTGTTCATCAGTCTATGTTGTTCATCATTTCCCCTAGATGAGTGAGCTCAGGTGATACTAGAAATACACTTACGAAAACCAAAAATGAGACAAGCAATAATGGTTATGCTGAGAGGCAAGTGAATCAGTCTATAGTGAGTTTCTTTCTGAGCCAACATTTCTTTTGAGTCTCAATTTCTATGTCAAACAGTTCCTTATGTGTACTGTCTGATTTCTTCATAGTTAATTAAGCCTGTGTGAACAGGGATAATCAATACTTGGTAAGAAGCTTGGTTCACTATGACTATTCCATATCTACCCCTTCTGGCCAGTTACTAAGTAATTGTGTTCTGAAATGGCACTTCTGGCCTGTCTTAATGTTAAGGTGCACAAAGACCCATTTTGAGAAATTTGGTTTCTCCTATCCTATATAGCCATTCAGATTTAAAATGTTTCAACTCCTCAGCATGAAACTGCAAGCTTCCTGTAATCTGGCCCTGAAATGCCTTCTCTGACATTTCTCTCAGTAATTCACAACCATGTCTCCTGCATGTTGAGCCAAACTTGTCTGTCCATTATCTCAGGAATAATGGTATACTTACCCACCTCCGTTAAGTTAAATGCAAAACCATCTCCTTTTTGCTTTTTGAAATTACACCCAGCTTTTAAGCTTCTCTATTCTCACTATTCCCTTCGAGCTTCAAGGTCTGATAAAATTTCCTATGCAAACATCTTTTCCCCACAAACCTCATTTTAGAAATGGATAACCATTCCAATTGTATGGCTGTCCCACTCAATAGCACCTCTTTGAAATCCTTTGTTGGTTGCTTGTGCTGCTGCAGAAAAAAGAAAATATCTGCTGAAAGGACCCAATGAGTTAAGGGTAAAAACACAGAACCCTAGTATAGTGCATACTGAATATCTTTCAGGGAAATAATAAAATACCTATTTAATGTCTATTCATTTTTAGGTACTTTACATAAATTATTTATAATCTTAAAAATATTGCAAGAAAGGTTTTATTATCCCCATTTCACAGATGAGGAAGATCAAGGCTCAAAGATATTATATAGTCTGCCTAGGTAGCATATATAGTAAGTAGGATCTATTTCCTGATGCTAGGATCTGGACCTTGCATACTACCACTCACAGTCATGTTTTTAAAAGCATGGACTTTGATGTTAGATGGGTCCTGTTTGATCAAGCTTTTAGCTCTTTGACCAAACAACTTTGGTGTCTGGTACATTGTTCAAGGGCTGATTTTCAAACACATTATCCACAGAAGGTTTATTAAAGACTTCATGAAGTTATTTAGCTTCTGTAAAAAGTTTCCATTTTCTCGCCTATAAAATATGAGCAAAATTAATATGCACCTGGAGTTGAGGAGTAAATAAGAAAATGCATTTAAAATACCAGCCAAGTGACTAAACCCAGAGCTAGCATTTAATGCTGCTCTCTTTTCCCCAACTGTAGAATTGTGGTCCCTTTACTATGGATATTCCAAAATTCTATTTCCTCTTTAATGAAAAGAGACCACTACACTTTTAAGGATAAACTTTATTCAAATATTGTGTCATATTGGAATACTTCCAAATTCAAACAGGCAATTAGTCAAATATTTAGACAGAAGGCAAAGTTACTGGAACAAAAACAAAAATCTTAAAGGAGTTACAAAACCATCCTCCTAAGTAGCATCATATAATATACTTGTCATAAACCTATACTTGTTTAAACACTACATTTTAAATAATTTTTTAAAATATGACCTAATGTGTTAGTAAATTGGTTAGCAAAATAAAGACACCCTCCAACCCATATACATTCAGCAATATGACTATAAATACACTGCACAGTCAACTTATTTGATTTTCACATATCAAAGTTTCCAAAGCATGACAATTTCTTGCAATCCAGGCTCTCAATTTACTCAAACACTCTATTGGTCTGGATGCCATGCCTCTTTTTTATGAGCAGCTCTGAATGAATCCACAGCTAAATCTATGTTACCTCCAGGCCTCTTTTCTGAGGTTGAGAAAGAAACAGAAGAAAAAAAAGAGAAAATTAGGTACATGGGAGTGACCACCACAAATGTAATGTACTCTAAAAATGGAGAGGGAGGATGAGTGAGTATTCTAATTACTGCAGAGAATTATCCCTATAAAATTGTTTCTTTTTAGTGTTTTTGTTTTCACACATTACCTATTATCAGATAAAGTTTCTCTAAAATATTATGAAATGGGCATATTTTCTTATTTTGCTAGAATGATGTTAACAAGGCTGGTAGCCAGTTAGTCCGTTGTTCTCCTTGACTAATGTGTATTTTTCACATAAAACCACCAAGAGCTGATTTCATTCATAATCTGCTCAATTCTAAGAACAAATGTGCTACTTATGAACATGACCATGCAATGACCAGGAACTCCCGCAAAATGAACTGTACCATACACATAAAACTAAAAATCCTGAAAGAAATTCCAAGAGACCATTTAACATACATTGATGATTTGAACATATAAGCTAATTAACACTGAAAAAAACCTTTAAACTATGAATTTGTCAGATTCACAATCTAACTTTCAAGGTTAATTCAATCAACAAGCATTTCCTATTTCAAGAATTCCTCTTCTTGACTATTTATCCTCCTAACCACATTTAACATTTTAGCTAAAGAGTTGTTTGTTTGTTTGTTTGTTTTCTTATTAGTGATAGACAAGAAAATTAATTGATAAACCATTTCTGTTTGAGGGTTCAGGGTAATGGTACCTTTAATATTTGACAATAATATTATTTGACCAAAGATGGATAAAATTTAGATCTCCTCCATACCATTTGAAACTTTTATAAACAAAAGTTTCCTTAAATGGTGGTATCATCCAATGACATGAAGGAAAGATCTTTCCCTCATGTTTGGACTATATACCAGCAAAACAAACCCTTGGATTACAACCAGTTCTTCATTGTAGGCACAAAATAATTAAAATGAGAAAGGGAACCATAGAAAAAACATAAAAATGGTAAACAACAAAAAGTAATTGTTTTTTTTAAAAAAGTAATCCTTTAAAAAGGATCTGATTTTATAGTGAAGAATCACTGCAAGTACATCTTCTATCCTTCAGCTACTCGTTTATCTAGCCCATCTCCATGGGAGCATTTGACACAGGGAATGAAGT